ACGCCAAATTTGACCCCCGACGACATAGAAATTTTGCCGAAATGCTGTGATTTGTTACGACACTTTAAATCAGTAACTGAAATTATGAGTGCAGAAAAGCATGTAGCTGTATCGCAAATAATAGTTTTAGCGAATTTGCTCAAATAAAAGGTGCAAGGCTTCACCACTCAAGACATTCCCCAAACAGTAATGGAAATGGCGAAGCGAAGCGGTTCGTTACTGACATATCAGTACCTACGGTTTAGAAATGTAGAGGATAACAAATTATTTGCCGTAAGTACGCTTCTAGACCCACGATTTAAGGCATATGGTTTTCCTGATGACAAAAAAGTAGTGTTTATAATGCAAAAAAATATTTATCTAATATAGCGGCTAAATCTATTGCATCGCTTAATGAAACTGAATCAGAAATTAATGGGTGCGTTTGGCAGAAAAAAGCGCTAGCAAGCGCTTATAAGCGCTAAAATAGTTTTCGGCCAGGACACGATTGCTACTTCAGTAGCGCTGACACAATCCGCCATTTTGCTTATTTAATTTGTTTGTTTTGAAGTAGAGTTTATAAGTTGTTTTGTGCAATATTAGTTTTAAGTAATATAATGACATGAATAAACATATACATGCTATTAAAAACTCATGATTGGTAAGTTTTTAATATGAATACTTTACAAACATATATTTAAATTAGGTTAGATTCCCCGGTTAAAACTAACATCGTGTCCTGGAGGAAAATAGCTACTTACGATTTGACAGCGCTTACCGCTTACGATCGCCATTTTGCTTACAAGCGCTTGCTAGCGCTTTTTTCTGCCAAACGCACCCAATGAAAATATTTCACAAAGCGATACAAACATACAAAAACCTTCTATATGGGATGAATCATCAATTACATTAAAAAGCAAAACCCCTAATCAAGAAGTAGATAAATATATCGATGAGCCTCTTAATAGCAAGAAATCCCACGACTCTATATTATGGTGGTACACGAAAAGGCACACATATCCACGCCTATATGATGTAGTCAAAAACACTTTTGTACTCCAGCTACTTCAACTCCTTCCGAAAGAATTTTTTCGAAAGCAGGACATGTCGTTACTGACAGGCGCAACCGATTGGATGGTAAAAAAGTGCGCCTCATTTTATTTTTACACGAAAATATGTGATTGTTTTTTTTACTTTTTATCCTTTGATCTGTTTTTATCATACCTAAACGGTGTGCATTGGGATGTTCAAACAGTAAGTATAATCGTCATTATATCTCTACCATCCTGCCTCCATAGAATTCCATAGTGCCTTGTGAACTTCAACTTACATAAAGTTAAAGTTACAGTCTATATACATTCCACTACTGGGCACAGGTAGTTTTAGGGCAGGGAAGTGTCCGCCGCGCTGCCCCGTTGCAGGTTAGCGAATTTCTCGTTTCTCCGAAATATTTTTTTTTCTTATTTCTCAGATATGCAGCTTTCCTCAGGATGTTTTCCTTCACCACCGAGCATGTGGTAAATCAACACTTAAAATTGCAACCATCAATTTCATTGGTGCCAGCAGGGATGGAACCTGATTTGCTTGCACAATGTGAAGTTTACAGCGAGAGCTAACCATCTGAACCACCATGGCTTACATACTTGTCCTAAATGATAGATAAACAGGATAAGATTTACATTATAGATGGACCACTGCAGTTATCTGTGTTTATATTCATAGGTACTTATTAAAATTATACCTTTCCCTCTCCCGGTTGATGGACATAAGCCATTAGAAATGTTTGACAGAAATATAAATATAGCCACTTACAAACCAGTCTTAGATGCCTTCACATTTAGTTGATATATCTAATCTACAAAAGTATTATAAAATTTTTAGTGGTATTATATATTATTATTTAGTATTATTTATGGTATTATTTAGTATTTAAAAGTATTATAAATGCATGTAATGCAGTGTTATAACTTTTACTACTATTGCAACCTACATAGTAGTAAAAGTCATAACACTGCATTACGTGCACTACATTAATTAATGCATTTCAAGGTAATTATTCAAGCAAAGTGTAAAATTTTTGATATGTTATTGATATGGTAATAATCCTCTCCTTTTTCATTAATAGTTACATCAAAGAATAATGTGACAGCAACATTAAACAATAGTTATAGCACTATTACATTTTTGTAAAATGGCATAAATAACAAAACCAATGAAGAGTGTAGTAGCAATGGAATTACCATTCCATAGTAAAGAATGTGTATACTCATATATTACAAACCAATTTTTGAGTTCAAGACATTTCTTAGCTAATTACACTTACTTAAGTAATCTTCATTTTTAATCTGTGATATTAAAAATAAAGATTAGGGCAACATAAAAGGTGATACTGAAAATTCTTAGAAAATCAAAAACTGAACAATCTAGCAAGTTATTAGTTTTATTATATCTTTTCAAAATAGAGTCCATTTACCAGTACCAGTTCTAAAAACTTTCAGTGTCACCCTTGTACAAACAAGATTAAAATAAAATGATCATTTATGTAAAAAATTAAAAGCAATTTGATCCAATAACTTTAAAACCTAAAGAGTAGGTGTTATTATTGCCTTTCAAAGTGTAGCATTTCACTTCGATATAAACTATAGATTATCGCTCCTAGAAGAACAGGTAGCAGCTGTGACTAAAGCCATGATCGATAGCTACCGTGAGTCATGTCCAGTAATCACTCCACCAAAACATGCGGAGTAAAAGCAACCATGGTGGGTAAAGAATTAGACAGGAAACATAAGAAGGTAAGAAAAGCCCTAAATAGGGCAATGGAAGACGCTAAGAAAAAAAAAAAAAAAGAATCCATTGGGCCATTCATAGTTTCCAACCCTATAAGGCAGCAGGACCTGACGGCTTATTCCCGGCACTTCTGCAGTGGGGTGGCCGTGGTAGCTCAGATGGTTAACGCTCGCTGTAAATATAATAGAACGCGAGTAACCCGGGTTCGATCCCCGCCGGCACCAATGAAAATTTTAAGTGCTGATTTACCACATACTCAGCGGTGAAGGAAAACATCGTGAGGAAACCTGCATGTCTGAGGAATAAGAAAAAAATATTTCGAAGACGTGAAGTTCGCCAACACGCATTGGGGCAGCGTGGCGGACATTACCTTGCCCTAAAACCCTCTCAGAAATGAGGGGAGGCCTGTGCCCAGCAGTGGGACGTATATAGGCTGTAACTTTACTTTACTTTACTGCAGTGGGGGGGGGGTAAAGTCCTAACAGTCAGACTTGTTGCCATAATGAGAGCATGTTTGGCTCTTAAATATGTTCCTAGGGGATGGAGGGAAGTGAAAGTCACATTCATACCCAAACCAAGTAAGAACGACTATACAGACTAAATCCTGCAGACCCATTAGCCTCACATCCTTTCTCCTAAAGACGATGGAGAGGATGTGTGAACAGGAGTTGAGAGGGTCGGCGCTAATTAACTTACCGCTACACGAAAAACAACACGCCTATAGTTTAGGTAAATCAACAGAATCGGCACTTCACCATGTAGTAACAAAGATTGAAGAGGCCATCCAAAACAAAGTAATATGTCTAGGCTCCTTCATAGACATAGAAGGTGCTTTTGACAGAACAAATTCCTCCAGCATAAAAGGTGCCCTAAGTGGATATAATGTTGAACCGGCACTGATTGACCGGATAGTAAACATGCTCAGTACACGAACAATAAAAATTGCTGATGAATCTCAGACAATTCAGATCATGAAAGGATGCCCGCAGGGTGGGGTTCTTTCACCTCTCCTGTGGTATTCCATGGTCATTAATGAATTCATCAGCAAATTAAACGCTAACCATTTCTACACAGTCGGTTATGCAGACGATCTGACAATACTGGTCTCTGGAAAGGCAGCAGGCATTGTGTGTGACCTGACCCAAGCGGCTCTCCGTATTGTGGAGAGATGGTGCAGGGAATATGACCTAACCGTTAATCCAAACAAAACGGTTATAGTAATGTTCACACAAAAACGAATGCTGAATAATTATCATCTTCCAAGTCTAAGCACAAAACTCCAGCTTTCCTCCGAGGTAAAATACCTAGGTCTTACCTCGGACAGTAAACTTAACTGGAATAAAAACATAGAAAACAAAATCAACAAAGCTAGTTTAACTTTCTGGCAATGCAGAAACATGATTGGTAAAAGATGGGGTTTGACGCCAAAAATTATACTGTGGCTGTACAAAACTGTAATTCGGCCCATGATCACATATGGCTCTCTGGAATGGTGGACCAAAACCACTGAAGCCACCACTATATGAAAGCTTCAGCGTTACTAGAGATCGTCTTGTATGGCTGCCACGGGCTGCATAAGGACTACACCAACAGCAGCTTTGGAGGAGCTAACCCTATGCTGGAGCTAACGCCGCTTCATCTACATATACAACAAGAAGCAACTTTAACTGCCATTAGACTCAAGACCCTAAATCTTTTAAGTAAGAGTAGAGTCCCCCATACAGATATAATTGATAGAATAAAAATTCCTATCTTACAAGCCAAGTATGATAGGATCCCAAATTGTATTCGAAAAGTACAGGATACAATTGAAGTAAACTGACCATCTGGAAGGATTGGGTCAAAGAGAGCTCAAAGTTTTCACAGATCTAAGACAAATGAAGGTGTGGGGTCAGGGACTTTCTCTGAAGACCTTAATATCCACATATGCACACCGCTGGGTATCCACAACACAGTCTTCTAGGCTGAATGCATGGGTATCATCCAAGCTACAGCAATAGATGCTAGGAAGATGAAAGACTTCTCCATCAGAATACAGACCGACAGTATGGCGGTACTACAAGCTCCGAGTTGCAATATGACGAACTCGGGACTGATATACGAATGCCATCAACGATTGAATGAGGTATGTAAGCATAACAATGTGATCTGCAATGGATCAAGGGACACAGTGGATCTAGAGGCAACGATGCAGCAGATGAACTGGCCACAAGGGGATCAGCTCTGGCAACTACATGGTCGGAACCAATAATACCGATCCCATTTGGCTACGTTCGTTCACTGGTACGTAGATACTTCAATAATTTACATGCTCAGCTTTGGCTCTTTTAACAAACATTTGCTCACTATAGGTGTTACTGATAGCCCCCTGTGCAGGGCTTGCATGGCAGCAACGGCGGCTCACGTGTTGCTGACATGTCCAGAAGTCGCTTCATACAGGGCTAAACATCTCGGCACGCCGGGATCGCTCCCCGAAGTTGCTTGCAACATCAAAGGACTGTTGAACTTCTTCGGGGAAATATCATGGCTCGAATAACCACATATTCCTGACCACACGCAAAATACGCGCTTAGACGTGGAGTTGCGGAAAACAGCCCGTCGTAAACTAACTAACTAACTATAGATTAGTTGTAAGTTGTTAGCCACAGCACAGTTTTAGGTATATTAAAGATAAGTACTGGCACACTTAAATCCACATGCTTGAGCAAGAGTATTTTTAAAAACTATATACCTTAATCATATTTAATTACTTAATAAACTTTATTTTGCACATTTAGAAAAGCTATTCACAAATATTATATGGTGGTATGGAACCCTTTTTGTAAGAGTCTGACTCGCACTAGTCTGGCTTTTTTTTAATATTAGTAGGATCATTGGCTCTATTAGCCAAAATTGTTTTGCATCATTATTCAGGAAAATTATTTTAGATTTTTTTTTTATAGGATAGGGTGACAAACGAGCACACAGCCCACCTGATGGTAAGTGGTTGCTGTAACCCATGGACATCTACATATTTCCTCGATTAAGAATCAAAATGCAGATGCGTTGTCACCCGTGAAGACTAAGGTGGAATGCCTCGTTTCCAGTAAAAAGGGTCTCCGGTTCTCTACACTCACCATACGAAATACAGCAGCATTAAGCTACTATTTCACGCTGGTATTCTGTGAGAGCGTGGTCCTTCCCCAGTCGAGCCGACCCATTCGTGCTACAACTATACTACTAATATAACTGCAGCAGGCTCTACCACGTATAAAAATATTTAAACTTTTCAAGAAAAATATTAAAAGTGATCTTTTTTTTTCAGAGAATTCCTATGATCAATTTCCACATCCAGAAAAGAATCCTGACTGTTTCAAGGCTTGGTTTCATATAGCTGGTGGGAAGTTAGATAGTCTTGCTGATTATGAACTGTATATGAAGAAGGTCATCTGTGATATCCATTTTACAGACAGGGATAGAAACTGTAATAACCTGTTGAATTTTCTAGCTGTGCCATCGCTTCATCTTCCTGGTAAGATTTACATAATTTACAAATAAGGGCATTATAACTTATTACAAATTATACAATAATGGGCTTGAGTTGAAGTTGGCATTTTGCTAATATTGTATATTTAACTGAAATACTTCCCTAATTAGGCAAGAATAATGGCCTAAATGGGAAATAATTTTGCCCATGTTTTTAACAAGTGTAAATACAGTAACATGCATTGTCCCATATTAAACCCTATATTAATTAGTATGTAGGCTCCATTGCTAGTATTGTTTTATTTTTATGCTTGTTAGTAATTTTTCAATTTGTATTATATTTATTTTGTATTTTAATAATGATAAGGAAACATATTTATGGTGGTTTTTCTGTGTGGTGGAAAAATCACATGTTTATATGTTTTTATCGCACTTCGAATTAAATATTCTTTATCATTAAAAGTTTTTATTTATTTTTAAAATAAATAATATTTTTTTCTTATTTTTAGGCAAGTCTGATGAAATTGTTACTTCAGAGAAAGTTTTACTTGTACCTGAACCTGTGAATGAAGAAAGCAGCCTTGCTACATTAACACTAACAGGTACTTACATATTGATTCCAATTATCGTAGGCAGCAATTAAAGAAAAGTAAAATAAATTTTTATTTTTATTTTAAAAGGATTAGTAGTCTAGATGCTATCAGCATCTTCAAAAGGTCATTATCGCCCATCAATTATATAGTTACTTGTTATGACAAATTGAATACAACTGTATCATAATTAATTTTGGGCCTAACCTAATAAAATATAATCTTAATGTTATAGTTATTGTGCTCAATATAGTTATTGGCCATTTAGATTCTAGTCTAAATTACAACTTTAATGATAAATAAAAGGACAACATTGAAACGCTTGGTGTTAGAGCTTGGTACGCGCTACACGACTATAAAATCCCGAGCAGACCTGCATGGTGATTTATAACGCCATCTTCCTATGTATCTGTGCTCAGCATTAGACTTAAAACATATCTCTTATTTTTCAGGCAAGTCTAAGATAACATATTAATTCCAATTATTTATTACATTCATGTTGTTGGTAAATTTATATACATAATGTTAGACTAAATTAAATCTAAAAACAACACACTAACAAAATCAATTTTTCTCATGAGTTTTTCTTTCTCATTACAGATAACTCTGCCAGGATTAATTCAGAACACAATTATTGCCGACTGCAGAAGAAGGCAATACATAAAAACAATAGGAAGTTTTTTTTAGACATATAGGGGATTAGGAAACAGAGTGCACTTTTAAGAAAAGCACTATGGTGTTTTCTTTAAAATCATCCGAACCCAATCCCAACTAAAAATCAAATGGATAATAATTTGCCATAGTTTTGTAAAAGCTAATGACATACAAATAAATACATACAGTGCACAGATATAGTAATAATACAATAGAAATGAATTAGCGCTCGATTACTTCCAAAACCGATGTCGCCACATCTTACCGTATTTTAAACATACGCACAATGCACAGTGAAATATCTAATATTTCACATTACATTGTTTGGCGAGTTTCTCAACGTAGAACAAAAGCAGAAATGGTAATTGAACAATACGAAAACTAATAAATAAAAGGTAAATATCATAGTAAAGTATTCGTCTAGATGTAAATTAGTTAAAACGTCACGCATCTATGCGACTTCTATTGTCTTATTAGCTTATTACTTAATATGTATATTACAACATTTTTAATATACACATACAAATCTTTTACTGTACAGTCTATTAAGCTCTGGAATGCCCTACCTTTGTATTTACGCGAAGCTCAGACTATTGTAGTCTTTAAGCGACTTCTTAAAGAGCATTACTTGTCTCAATCGTTCGAAAATCATTAGGATAAATTATGTGCTTATGTAGTTCTGTATTTATTTGTTTATGTTATTGTTAGTGGTATATATTTGAGGATATATGTATGTATATATGTGTGTATATATGTGTATGTGTGTATATGTATATATGTATATATATATATATATATAAATGTATATATGTGTGTGTATGTTTATGTATATACCTATGTATATGTGTATCATATTTTTTTAATGTATTAGTTATTTACTTATATGTTATTTTATTGCATGTATTGATATTATATTAGGTATATTTATATTGCACCACCTACCTAGTACTCACTGTTTTATTCCTTTACACCTTTGGTTGCCTGGAAGAGATCGCTATGTAGCGATAAGGCCGCCAAATTGTACATGTAATCTGCTCTCTGTTATGTTCTTTGTAAATTTGTTTGTGGTGTGCAATAAAGTATATTCATTCATTCATTCATTCATTCATTCATACACTACACACTGAGGTCTAATCCTCTTCCCCTCTATGTGACAGCCGTATTGTTTTTTCTAGACATATTATATACGTGTGTACAAAAAGTATCATATCTCTCAAACTTTTAGTCTTTCTGAGATAAAAATAGGCTCATTCGGAAGGCAACAATATTGTCTATTGTTTCCATTGCCAAAAAATTTACTTTACGTGGTAGAGCCATGCTGCAGTTATATTAGAGTATAGTTGTAGTACGAATGGGTCAGCTCGACCGAGGAAGGAACATGCTCTCACAGAATATCAGCGTAAAATAGTAACTGAATGCTGCTGTGTTTCGCATGGTGAGCGAGAGAATCGGAGACCCTTTTTACTGGTAATGAGACGTTACTTCTTAGTCCTCACAAGTGACAACGCGTCTGCATTTTGATTCATAGTCGAGGATAGATGTAGATGTCTATGGGTCGCAGCAACCACTTACCATCAGGTGGACTGTGTGCTCGCTTGTCTCTCTATCCTATAAAAAATGGGTTCACATACTCATAACTTTAAAAAAAATTTGAGTCAAAGTATATATAAAAATTATGCAAATCAAATTTTTTACAGATAATTATCAGCAGCAGGAGTTGCCGTCAAACTGGTTGAACCAGCTAAAAACAACAAGAAGAAAAATTAAAGTTTTGCAATCGAACTTGATCAGATCACAAAAGAAAAACAAAACCTTTCAATCCAGAATAGCCAATGCTGAAAAAATGTCTACATATATTTTATTTTAAAAACTGATGAACAAAATGACCACAGCAGCAAAAATTTTCACAAAAATGCAGTACACCCAGACGAGCAAGAAGCCTCCTGGTCGCAGATTCTCGCTCTCGCTTTCTTTAAAAAAAAAAGTCAAGAAGCTTCTCGCAATATTTACATCCGTCAACTAAATCATTAAAAAGACTTTTGACCAAAATAGAAGTGAATGTGGCTTAATAAATCCATATTTATGAAAATTAAAAATACCGTCAAGGAGCTATGTACAGAAGACCGCTTATGCAGCTTAATTTTCGACGAAATGTCAATATCCCCTCAAATCCATTATAACGCTACAAAAGACCAGGTTAGAGGGTTCACATTTGATGGCAAGAAAATTGCTGACCATGTATTCGTCTTCATGGTGAAGGGGTTAAGAAAGAAATTTAAGCAACCCGTCGCGTATTATTTCACCAACTCAGTGAATAAACCTCAATTGAAAGAAATATTACAAAAAATTATTATGTGCATAGTACGGAGTTAAAGGTCATATGTACTGTCTGTGATCAAAGTACAGTCACGTAATAAATGACTTGATAGAAAATACAAGAAAAAAATATTTAAGAGAAGAAAAGGAATGGAAGAATGAATACATTGAAATAGGAAAAACAAAAGTAATCCCTCTTTTTGATGTTCCACATTTACTAAAAGAAGTGCGAAACAATTTAGTCACAAAAGATTTAAAATACTATGATTTTGAGGAAAAGTGAAAAAAAAAACGTCAAATGGGATTACTGTAAGTAAACTTATGAAGCTGATAAGTCGTATGTAGAGGTGAGGTGCCTACTGAAAGTCACAGATGAGCACACCTATGTCGAATAAAATAAAAATAATAAATTAAAATTAAAATTAGAAAAATGAAAGTGAAAACAGCAGCCCAAATTTTCAGTCACATGGTAGCTGCGACTGCGACTGCAGGACATCTCGTGGCAAGAGAGGACATTCCGGTAGAATGCCAAAATGTGGTAAAATTTACAAAATTAATGTACAATATTTTTGATTCTTTAAATTCTAACACATTGCATGTGCCTGATGGCAAAATATATAAAGGATGTGTTAGACGATCTAGTCCGCACCATGGTTTGTGGAAGAATGCCATAAAAGTTTTGAAAACTGTAACATTTATAAAAAAAATAAGGACAAAAATAACAAAATCCGTTTGATTGAAACGAAAGCTATACAATCTATAAAAAACTTTATACGTATAATTCAAGGAATGCAACAATAATGGATATTGCTGTCCCAAACATATTTGTTTGATGCTATGCTAACTCATCATTTCAACCAGGACCCACTAGAGAATTTCTTTGGGAATATCAGAAGTTATGGAGCGAGAAATACTGCACAAGACATGGTTGCATTTGAAGGGACCTTTAAGTCCATTTTAATTAATAATTTTAACTCGCCCCATTCTCTGCAAGCAAACTGCGAAAAAGACGACGATAGCTGCTTTCAGAATCTAGATTTTTTTGTAAGAGAAAATATCGCGTCAACTTCTGATATTCTTAGTCCCATTTATTAGGAAACACCACAATTTTCTGAAAGCATAGAAGACGAAATTGTGGTGCCGTTCATCAATTTAAATACCAGTATAAATGATGATGGTCAGGGCAATTATGTGTGTGGGGCAATTATGCCTTGGGAAATGCATTAAAAATGTTTCAAAAAACTGCAAACTATTTAAAGAACATATGTATGGCAGCCCTGAAAGCAAATCGAATGAATATATAAGGTCAAAAGAATATAAAAAAGGTAAACATTCTTTAATATAACCATCTGAAGGAATGGAAAAATATTTTGTCGAAATTCAAAATTTAGTGACAGACATACTAAAAAAAGATGTCCAAAAAAGGCTTAAAATGTAAAATAAACCTGATGAAATGTTTACCGACATATTTGTTGAATTTCCATTTAGTTGTGAAAAACATAAAAAAATATTAAGAAATTATTTTGAAAACACAATTATTCATATGCTTATATGTTCAATAAACCGTAAAATCATATACCATGGTGAGGATGAAACTAAAGCAGCAGCTCAAGCGTATAAAAATAAACACAAGGTAAATAAATAAATAATATTGTAAAATAAAAGTTTTTTTTTGTGTATCCAATAACCTTTTGAAATTGATGCGTCCTTACTAATTTGCTTGTTTTTAATTTGATAAAGTTTTACTAAGATTTTGTTAGAGAAAAAATAAAATCAAGTAAAACTTTATCAACTTGAATACAAGTAAATTAGTAAGGATGAAGGAAGCGTTAGGTATTATTGCCTATAATAGTACCTATAGCCAGCTACAGCTATAGATGTCAAGTTTATGGATGTCGATAATAGATGGCGCTATTTATCAGATCAATTCACATTAGCGGTTTTCAATAAATTCTGCGAGCGGGCTCTACGCTATGGGGCCACTTAAAAATGAGGTGTAATATTTAACAGATTTCATAGCGGGGAAGTTAATTCGTTCAAAAAATGTAAAGGTTAATGTTTCTTTTCATACTATTAAATGTATTTTATATTAATTAGATTTAAATTGAATAAACCAAACCACAGATATTCATAAAAGTGGAAAAATTTAAAAAATAGTTAAATAATTGCAAAAATTAAGGAGTAAACTATTGAAGCGTTGTTCTGTGTATTAATATAATACTCTAGAAACTGATAAACTTATATTTAAAACTAAATTCTCAATTAAATGACATTCAGTAAAAAATATTCGCCTTAGTGTCAACTAGCGACATCTAGTGAGCGGAAGATTATTAGCCATAAGTGGTAGAGCCATGCTGCAGTTATATTAGTAGCACGAATGGGTCGGCTCGACCGGGGAAGGACCACACTCTCACAGAATACCAGCGTGAAATGGTAGCTTGATGCTGCTGTGTTTCGTATGGTGAGTGTAGAGAACCGGAGACCCTTTTTACTGGAAATGAGGCATTCCATCTTAGTCCTCACGGGTGTTAACGCATCTGCATTTTGATTCGTAATCGAGGATAGATGTAGATGTCTACGGGCCACAGCAACCACTTACCATCAGGTGGACTGTGTGTTAGTTTGTCTCCCTATCCTATAAAAAAACCCTCATTGAAACAAATCCACCCCAGAACGGCAGATCCATAAATAGTAGTTGACTTCTACGGCTGATAAAGAAAGAAAA